CAAAGAGATTAAAGATATTTGGGTCCATTAGCAAGTTTAGAATTGAGGAAGCATGTATGTCTAGAAATTATATGGTTGTATTAGTCTACAGAAGTTGGTTTGCAACTGTTAAAGATGAAAATTCTAATTAATATAGGTAATGAAAGTTACAAAATTAAAGTATTTAAGTAAAGTATTTGAGGGAAATGGGTTGTTAAAAGATGTGTTTTGTTACTGAGGAAGAGTAAATTTGACTAGTTTAAAGATTATTTAAAAATTGTTGCCAAATAATCGAAGGAGTTCAGTCAGAACTGAATGGATAGTAAAAGCTGAGAAGAAACTAGAGTCTTGTGTGACTAAAATAGAGTGCATTTAATAAAAAGGCTTTAAAAAGTATCCTTAATATCAAATGTATGCTGACATAAAACTAAGAATTGTTCTTGTAATAATGATACAATTTTTTCACCTTTTTAGTGAAATGAGAAAGAGGTTCTGTATTGTGCCAAAATTATTTCTTGTTTTAATAGAGCTTTGATTACCTAAGAAAATTGAAAACAACTAAGGTTCTTTTTTCCTTCTACAATATCATAACTTCTTGTATTTGCCTTTGAAATATTTTGTTATCACTTTAGTTAAATGCTTGACTATTGGTTTGTGTCATGTGACCTGCTTTTTTCCAGTGCTTTAAGTATTTTGACTTTCGTCAAACTTCCCAAAATAAAATTCTAAATATCTTTTTAACCTCAAGCTGACTTTAGGATGTTCCAGAGATCCTTCTGTAACATCCAAAAAAGAGCTATTAAACCATTTGCATTATTTGATACACTAAATGGCATGAGAAGCACTGTGAAGTAGGAATTGATACTTACACTCCCTGTGTTAAATGTACATGGATATTGGTAATATGTTTGCAGAAGCTGTGTGAAACACCTGGAGATTGATATGTCTTGGCATAATGCTATCAACAATAATTCTGGATATTAAATGCTAAAATGTTGGATGCTACATTTGGTAATAACCTAATAGAAACTTGGAATCAAATTTCTCTGAGAATTGTGACTTATTATAAAGGTT